TGATAAAGCAAAAGTCAGGAATACATAAAGAGCTACAGTAAAAGTAATACAGAGGCAGCATGAGAGGCAGGCTGAGTGGGATTAACATGTGAAAAGTGAAGTACCAGTTAGCACTCCATTTGAGAGGCCAGTATCATTATCCTCTCACTGGCAAGGCAGAAAAAACACACAGTTCAAGTGGAATTATAAAGCTCTCTCAATGAGAGTATAAAGTGAGTTCAAGCCTCTCTTGATGGCCCTTCAGTGCGATATGGGAGCGATGCCCGTTTGCACCTCGAGTGTGACAACTACTTTGACCTCACACGGTTCTCTCAAAAATCATCACATGAATTAAAGGTGCTTAAAGCTTCAGTAGTGATGACATCTATCATGTCTGGCTGCTACTGAATGTTTTCAATGTGATCACCTGGTCAATGATGTGGGAAGCCAGTGTGCCTGCCAGAATTGGAAGATTGTGGAGCTATAATACGCCTCCCACATCAATGGGTCAAGGATCAGAGACAACAGAGATGAGTTTTTCCGGATGTCTTGTGCATGTCTGAACTCCAGCACCTGACATATTGGCTGAAATTTGGAATTATATTTGTATCAGGGCCTACAGAGTCAGTCTGACTCTATGATTAGCTCCAGAATGTGCTGACAATTTAAGGCATGTGGCAAATGAATCTGCGAGGAGGGCCGAAGCAAGAAGTGAAAGTGCACACTTATAGCAAGATGTGGTTTCAAAATGGTATGCCAGTAAAGACATAGGAAGTAAGACTGCTGATCAAGACAGCGCCCCATGGCCCGCTAGCTCCACTTAAAAGCCTGGTGAAAGACATCCAGACATTTGACTCTGTATTTGACTGTTATGTAGACGCCCGATTAGCATTCACCAGCTTTTCAATCAGTTCAAACTCCTTTGTTCTGATTTAAAAAACGAACCAGAAGAAAAGCTAAAAAGAGCTTGAATGTATTGTTTTAATGTAGGATACATATTTGAGGAATAAACTGTTGAGCTGCCTTATTCATAAAGGTTGCACTGACAAATTCTTTTTTCTCTTGTCCCCTCACAGGGGGCTCAAAGGTTAAAGACATGTACATAACAGCAACTAGGAAGCTCGTAGACTCGACCACATTTCTATAGTGTTTAAAATGTCTTGAGTTTTAAAAACGGACAATAAATATGACAGTAGACAGCAACTGTACTGTCACTTAAAGGGATACTTTGATTTTCAACTGGCTTTGTATCATGACAATGTGAGTTGTATGTGTGAAAGAACTCTGGTAAACTTCATGCCATTTTGTCAGCGCCCAGATATCTCTGTCCATTTCCTTGCTCAAATCTGCCTGATGACGTGATTTTTGGCTCTGGGTCTGTTGCTTGAACTACAAAAAGTACTTCTGCTCCACAGACATGAAGAGTATAAAGTGGATTGTGAAAGAGAGCCGCCCCTCTTTCGCTCTCTCAAACTCTGATCAAACGGTAAAACTAGGCATCAAATATTAACTGAGACTCTGTTACTGTCTTGCCAGTTTCTCACCTAATATGTTTTAGTTATATATTTTAGTATTTGTGAACAGGAAGTGGATGCCATACTGTATCGTGTATTGTAAACTGAAAAAAAAACTGAACTCAAACAGCAAAACTAAGCAGTGCTGAGCAAATATAAACCAAGGTTCTGCTGCCACGTTGCCTGATTCTCGCCTCAGTCTTCAGAAACATATTTTGACTTATTGTTTACTGTCACCTACCAGCATACGCATTTATGGGTCTGGTGTGGCAAAGTGCATTCTGGTAGCTGTAGGTTTTCTACCTCTTGAGCAAAAGTGAATGCCACAGCCCCCTTTTTGTCAACATGTAGCACCAATTTCAAAAGTATTTGCTTCTCTTTACTGCATAGACAGCCTAGTTTTATGAAAAGACCATCTTTTTAGCAGTAAAATACTTCTTTTAGTAGAGTCTGAATCAATGCAAAGCAAGAGGAACTACTCATTCATCCGCTCACCCTGTATCTACGCCATACAGGAATAAGAAAGTGAGAAAGAATAACGCGACAGTAAAAGATCTTACAATTCAAAATTAACAAAACCGTTAAAATGGAGCATCACCTGCAGCTACAGTGAAGGGAAGATTTTAGCCTCACACAGCTGAGTAGAGACACCACAAAAATAATAAACCATGATATGACGTACACATGACACCAAAAATGTAAGTGGAACTGATAAAGGTCTGTCTGACAAAGTAAAAAAACCCTGTAACACTTCTTAAAATGAATCAACAACTCTGCTAATGCATAATCAGACCAACAGCAACTGATTAGATCAAGAGAAGTTTCTGAAAGTTTTGACTTGAGCTGTGACGAAAGACTTTTCTACTCATATGTTCTCAGACAAGTTGATGACATTTTTAGTCACATCCTATCTTTACTTTGGACATTTGGACAGACAAATAGCTTTATGCACAAGCTACATATGTGCTGTGTGATGTGAGGCAAGGCTGATTATCAGAAACAGCTTGTCCGTTAGACAAAAGTACAGTTATAATCAGTGAAAATAAGACTTAAAAATGTCATAAATATACCTTTAAGATCTACATTTAGCTGTGCTGTAAACCAGAAAGCATCTACCATACCTGTTTCCAGTGAGCAGTCTGAGGCTCTTATTGTCTCCACTGCAGGAAGTGGTAGCTTTCAAATCAAAGATTTCTAGTTGTTCTGATCCTCAAAATGCAGAAGGGAGGGACGCTAAACTTTGCTAAACCACAAACCAGCTAAGCTAACTTGAAGCAACCAGACCCACTGTTTCCACTTCTGACTTTCAGGGATACCCCCCTCACAACGGCCTCTAGCTACAGGAAAGTGACCTCAGAGCAGTTTTAATAGCCTTCAAGAAACATGTGAGAGCGGCATGGTGTGCCCATTGTCATGTAGAACAATGCCGGTTCAAAAATTCACCCATAAGACAGTGTAGCGCAGGAAGTACTCTGCCAGATCACATCCTGTTCCACGCAGTGACGACAGGGTACGCATGACAACGGATGAAGAAGAGTTGAAGTACGTAGAGCACAACAGGCCGTGAACTTCACACTTCTTTGTGCAAACTACTCAAGCAGACTATGTTCTTCTCACCAGACATGTTTTTTCACTCACACTCACTGCACTAAAGCAGTGGGGGGCTAAAACGGACAACACACAAACTGATCTGATCTGGTTTCTATTTCAGTTTAATACTTTGAATGTTTCATTTAATACTGGGCTTCTTTACTTAAGCCTGTGAAAATTTGTTCCCACACAGTAGCTTGCCAACTTGCACCTCGTGCCTGCCAGCCAGCGAAGAATCTACCAAATTATTTTGTGGACATTATGAAAATGGATAAAAAGCTGCGCCTGAAAACATGAGATTGCTTTGTCATCTTGTTCTATTTCTTTTTCCTGCAGACTTTGATACTACCATCACAAATAGATCTTTTGCGCTGCTACCTGGCCTGCTGGGGCAAACAATGTGACAGTAACAAGACTGCAAATACACTGTAACTCTATGTTGCTTCTTGACCATTGTGAAGGTCACTTGAAAACCAGTTCAGCCAGGCTATTGCGTCTCTTGTGTGACTGAAACTAAACGCTCAGAGCTTTCTGGAACATTAGTTTTTAGGGGCAACGGCACAATTGTTCGTGGGGTGTTCAGTTATACAGAAATAAAACAGACATGGATAATTGATAGCCTGGAGCCAATCAGGAGTGGATATTCCTTTTATCCAAGGTATAACGCTTAAATAAACCATGAGCAAGAAAACCCATTTACCATCTATCATGTCTCTAGAATGTCAGTATGTCTGGAGCCTATACCAAAGATATATTGCTCTACTTGTGGGCATTTACCTTGTACTATTCCACTGATTTCCACTACTCCACGTCTAATTAAAATGTCCTGTATCCGCCTTTATACCCCATGCCAAGCCCCTCTTCCCATCAGCCTCCTCAGCAGAAGCAGGGCCTGTTGCCCCCTCATGGCATTGTTACTAACAACATGAAGCTGTACTTTCCATGACATGACTCCTTCAGTCATCTTGCAGCTGAGAATATTACAAAAACAATAAGTGACTGTAAACATCCCACGGGTGGAAACATGCAGGCCTGAGATAAAACTGACCCTTATAAAAATGACTATAACAGCGTCACAATAAAATTCACATGATGAGAAAGGATTTTTTTTTTTTTTTTTAAAAAAGATAAATAAGTCCCACTTTATATAACAAAAACATTTTGAATCTGGATTTTATAATTTAACATGCAAGGATGGTTGTAAGGCTAGAGACAGAAAATACTGAGTGCATCCTTCGCATGCTACCAGGCATGACTTCTCCATCACACTGCCTACTATAGTAGGATACACTGAGGCCCTACAAAGCCATGGCTCTTGCGCAAAGCAATGTCAAGTCATCCCAACACGACTGGACCGAATCCGCATCCAGATGCAGGAAAGCAGCGCGTACATCAACCCTGCCTGCTTAGGGGGAGACAGATAAAAAAACACATGGAACACGTCGTACATTTCATTTTGCGTGCCTATTGTGGGCTGCACATACAAAATCCTGTGCAGGGAACAGAGCATAAATTATAGCAGCATCAGATTATTGAATGTGTGCCATTAGGCCAGGCTGGATTCAGCTGCACAGCACGGTGATGTGAACTATCCGAGGGGCTCCTGACAAATATTTCCACCTAGAGAAAGAGGTCACACAAATAACTGTCACATCTCAAGTGTTTGGGGATCTTCTGCAGAAATAATGAAGGCAAAATCATATTTGAGTCATCTAGCCCTCAATGCATCGACCCAGCAGTGTACTGGAAGCGACAAAATGTGCTCAGCTCTCTGACACTCAGATAGGGCGCCTCGCTTGCAGCCAATATTCAGCCTATATGAGGCGGACATAGTGTTAGGGCTTCATGACTCCGCAATTTGACTACACTGTTCTCTATCGCAGGACGGGGCTGTGACAGATCTGAAAAGCTCGTTACCTCTAAAGTGCGTATTTCTTGCTGTGTGAGGTCGTTGGACGCGGCGCATTTGGTCCGGAGCCCCTGTAAACTGGAGATGGAGATTTCAATCATATTCTGGATGAGTTCGCATTGATGTAGTGCGGCCATCGCTGCGCCACCGCCGCCGCTATCCCTCTCCGGCTGCTCATCACTCTCGACCATCTTCCCACCTTTAGCAGACACACTATCCATTCCTCAGCATTGGGCACGGCTGGAAGGGCTGGAGTCAAAACTGTTAAGCTACAATAAGACACATGCAGCAGTCCAGCGACGCAGCGACCTATTGTGGAAGTTAGCTGACAGCAAATGTCCCCAGCTCCCAATGTGGAAAAGTCAGGATGCAAAACGAAATGTATTTTTTTGAAACAAAGCGAGATGCTCGACGGTAAACTCCGAAGTCCAGCAGTACTCGACTTGTATTTTCAGTCCGTGTAGGCTACCGACGACAGGCTACTCTCTTCCACCGACAGCTCTGGCAGAGGCTTTCACCGTCTGTCAGCTGTTGGGAACATCATGGGGCGCGGTGCAGCCTGGGAAATGAAGTCATAGCCTGCAGGTCACAAAAACCGCACTCAACGCTACATCCCGTTAACCTCCCCCACCCTCTCGCGCGTGTTCTCACACGCACACAAGTGAATTGTATGTACAATTACCTTTAATAACTTTTTAAAGTAAAGTTAAATTATTACAGCAAAGTGTGTGGCACCATTATCTAAAGCAAAAACAGAAAAAGCACTGTTGTAGATAGTAACATGAATTATGGCTGCATTCCATTTAGGTGCTTTGTTTAGGGACCTGATATTTATCAAAGCAGGTGTTTTGACTTTTCATCATAGGAGAAGCACAGGTGTGGATAATAGGCTAGTACCAATGATGGCTTAATTCCATTTAGCTGCCTCAGTTTTAGGGTCCTGGGCTGCACAGTGGTGTAGTGGTTAGAACCGTCGCCTCACAGCAAAGGGGTTTGAAACCTCTTGTTCGGGCCTGGGGGCCAGCATTACGCCTCCCACAGTCCAAAGACATGCAAGTTAGGTTAACAGCCTACTTACTTACTTAGGCCTTTGTATTCCTTTCGGAACATAGGCCATTGATGAATTGTTTCCACCCTCATCTGTCTTGGGCCTTCCTCTCCAGCTGTTTCCACGTCAGTCCCTTCTTCTTGAATTCTTGCTCTGTGCTCCTTCTCCAGGTGTTTTTGGGTCTTCCTCTGCCTCGCTTGCCTTGTGGGTTCCAAGTCAGTGCCTGTTTGGTTATTGCTGTGTTGTTTCTTCTCAGTGTGTGTGTCCAATCCAGCTCCACTTCCTCCTTATCAGCTGTACCTCTACTGTATCTTGTTTGGTGCGTTCCCACAGGTTGATGTTGCTGATTTTGTTTGGCCAGAAGATTATTATTGAATGATCATTATTATTATTATTATTATTATTATCATCATATTATTGATGATGTTGGTGGTGGTCCTCCAGGTTTCAGATCCATACAGCAGTACGGTCTTGACGTTGGAGTTAAAGATTTTGAGCTTGGTCTTCAGTGACTTCAAGTTTTTACTCTTCCAGATTTTATTTCAAATATTGAATGTTGATCTAGCTTTCCCTATTCTTGACTTCACGTCCTCCTCTGTCCCACCGTCCATAGCAATTACACTTCCCAGGTATGTGAATTTATCGACCTCTTCCAGTGCCTGGCCCCCGATGGTTATGGGATTTATGCTTCTGTTGTTTATCCGCATGATTTTGGTTTTTGGTCCATTTATGTTGAGCCCAAGTCCGACTGCAGTTGTCTCTAGAAGCTGGGACTTCTCTTACATCTGCTGGCGTGCATGTGAGAGTAGTGCGATATCATCCGCAAAGTCGAGGTCCTCAAAATGTCCTGTCAGACTCCACTGGATGCCAGTCTTTCTATTGTAGGTTGTTTGTTTCATGATCCAGTCGATGCATATAGGAGGAAGAGGAAAATGGAGAGCAGGCAGCCTTGTTTCATCCCAGTGAGCACCTTGAATGTTTCTAGTGCACATCCCTGGTGGAGTACTCGGCATTGCATGTCCTGATACATGTTCTTGATGATGTTTATGTACTTCAGGGGGATTCCATGGTGTTTCATGAGTTTCCATAGCAGCTCACGGTCTACACTGTCAAAAGCCTTTTCAAAGTCTATGAATTGACATAGACAGGTGTGTGCCAAGTTAGGTTAATGATTGTAAATTGCCCGTGGGTGTGAATATGAGCATGAATAGGTGTCTCAGCACTGTGATCGTCTGGCGACCTGTCCAGGTTGTACCCCGCCTCCTGCCCAAAGCCAGCTGGGGATAGACTCCAGTGCACCTGGGACTCTGAACTGGATAGGTGGCTATAAACAATGAATGAATGAATGAATGAATGAGTTTCAGGGTCCTGGTGATGTGAATGCTGGCTCACTAAGCCTTTTTACACCTGGTATTAACATATGTTTCGGTGATCTGAACACAAGCGTGCACACCTGTGTCTATTGTCTCCAGCTGATGACTTGTTTTCAGGTTTCATAACTGCCCACATCACTTAGTCTAGAAAGCCAAATGGCTCTGTCAGGTATCGCGATAGACCTGCATTGACACATGCATGGTAATATTGTGTTAATAGTCCAGTGCTTCTTAAATCATTTCCATTTCTTCCCATTTTCACTTTGTCTCCATTCCTCAATGCCAAGTGGTTGGCTTTTCACTGGCTGTTATGTGTGATTGCTCTTTTTGTACGATTTTGTATAGTTATAGTTCCATACTTTACTTCCCCCTTTACACTTGTATTTTGACTGCATTTGCTGAAAAGTGACAACACACAAGTTGAAGATAAATGTGACTGACAGCATCATCACTGTTTTGTTTTGTTTTTAAAATTTTCTGTAGATGCCGCAATGATATTGTTATCGTGAAACCTTTTGGCCATGGTTATTGTGTTGTGGAAGTCTGATATTGTCCCAGCCATGGTTATTACCTCTACACTCTCTAGTTGCTCTCTAGCATGCTTGCTAGCCACATTAGCAGTTGTGTTAGTACAGCTGGAGTTATTGCTGTCAGTAGAATTCAACACATCTCCTTCCATAGGGCAAGTTGTAAACTCATCAGGTTTTACAGCGTTAATGAGCTGTCACCAAAGCAACCACCATGTCCCGCATTACTGGCGTAGTCCTTGTCAGGGGCACATCAGGACGTATTAGTGTTTACAGTACAAAAAATATGCGATCAAATGCGTCTCGGACCACCTCAGCAAGTGGTTTGAGTGATCAGATGACAGTGCATCTTGGTGGTCATTTACACTTGTATTTAGCTTTGTCCATTTGTGATCAGATCACCTGAAATGTTAATAGCAGTTAGGTAAACAGGGTCATTGCCACAGTAGCTTACTGGGACACTTTTTGTACTGGGAGTACAAAAGAGCCATCGTTAATGTAATTCGAAACACTTGTGCTTTTCCTGCTGCAACAAGTCAAAAAAATAGCAACATAATCAACAGGCCACAGGCTCTTTATGTATTTATCAAAGGTACAATGTGTGATCAGAGTCCAGCCCCCTTCCCATCCCACAAATCCGAGTCCACATAGTTGACATTCCACTTGCATGTAGTTGAGTGTACATGGTCTGCATTCAAATGCAGACTGTGCACTTTTCACAATGATGTCATGTTTGGTGTTGAAAGGATGCAGTGTGCCTTTTGAGTATTGGGCCTTAAATAGTACATATTTTAGATTCGTATTTGGTGCCCAAAATCTTGCTCCTGTGAAGTCTCAAGAGTTACTACAAACGAGGTGGTCAAATTAAAACCAGTCACTTAATCCTCCCACTCACACTCTTATTATTTCAAAACCAAAAGAAATGCAGCCAGAGCAAGAGCATGCAGCCAAAAAATTAAGAAATAACAGTATGTTTTAAATCCCAGTGATGGGACTTACTGCAACTTCAAGAGCAGTGTGCATAGTTTGTCCGTATATGAGGACATATCATATGTATGGGGGTGGGAGGAGTGTGCAGGTTTCCACGACCATGAAGCAACAGTACACATGGCTCATTGCTGCAATGAGGGTGTGATGTTCCTTCCTTTAATATACCCTGATTATACAATGAAATGTGAGTCACTTCTCATGGAGCCCTGTGTTCCTCCTCTCCATCTGTCTATCTGTCTCTTCTCGTCTTCTGATTCCAGAGGAAACTGTACTGTATCTTACACCGGCCAGACATGACCAATACATACAGCAGCCTTGCATGGTAATATACAGGGATCAGAACGAACAACCGATCAAAGGAAGTAGGACCCTCGCTCAGAGTGTTCTGGTGTACCGCTGAGTCAACCTCCAAATCAGCTGAAACCAGAAATGTAAACTCTGAAATACCGCTGAAATCTGACACTGATTCAACACGAAATTGCAAATCCCTGTAACACCATTGCAACGATGGAATAATCAGACACAAAGCCAAGTTCCAATCCTAAACTATTTGTTGTTGTTGGTCCAGTACTTTGTAAATTCAGTCCTGCAGTATTAACAGCACAGATTTGATCGTGACATGCCAGCAGAGCACCCTGCCAATTTCAGCTCCTCTTTGCCTTTAAAATCAACTTACTAAGTGGAAACAGTGGGATTGCAGCAAAGGAAGACTTTAAACAGATATTTAATATTGGTTGTACATGTTCACCTTTTAGAGAGCAGTTGTACAAATACCAAAAAAGGTGAGGTATATCAGTGTTGTTTCATTTTGTTCAGTATGATGCCAGCTAATGCTCAAAACAGAATGTTGCTACACACTCTAAACACAGAGCTATGACTGTTAATAAATAAAAACTGGCAATTTAGAGGAAAAATTCATTTAAAACCTCTCTCATGCTATATGTCTGGCCTATCATCTATTGCATAACTGCCCCATAAGCAAATGATTATCTTTGTGCCAACCGTTCAGTTGACAGATTAAAAAAATGTGAGCACAACAGAAGCATCTCTGATAAAAAACATTTCAGTGCCTCACCGTGTGTTCCTCCTCCCCCTCTGTGCTCTCTCTTTTAGCTTCAGTTCTTTCCAAGAGTTCATGTTCCTCTTACATGATACTTGAGGATTACTGACCTTTGTTCAGTTATAAATAATGTGCAACATGCAGGGCAATCCAAAAAGTACCTGCAATATATTCCAAAAAATTTACATGAGCAGTGTTCAGATAGGCACTTGACAGCTTGCTGACACGTCTCACTCAGCTGAGGATAACATGATCCTTTCCCAGCCTGACGGTCCCTTAAGCCGTTTAAACTGTCGTACTATTGGACGGCCAAGGCACCATGCGTAGCATGGGGCTCACGGCTTCAGATTAAATTAGATTGTGGACTGTCTGATTCCATCTTCTTTGCGGGCCAGGATTTCCACAAGCCAACCCTTCAGGTCTAGAGCCTTTGCCCTGTGCAGTCTGCAAAAACAACTGACTTGGCTCATTGCACCATTTGGATACATAATCTTATGCAAGTCTATTTTATAATTC